ATTTAGACTGCAAATGTCTAGGGTAACGTCAAATATCTTGGTAAAATTCACTTCCGGTCGCGTGTTTTACTGTCCGCAAAATAAGAATTTGTGCAAGTGAGATCTCAAAAACAGTAAGAGATTAAGACACCAAACTTATAGGAGTAATAGAACTTAAGGAGTAGGCAAAACCATTTGGGTTAATAGCGTCAGTCGTCACTTCCGGTCGTCACAGGAAGTGATCAAACAATTAAAAAATTTCAACTTTTCTCTTTTGAAATAAAACTTGCATCATATAATTGAATCTCTTTCACAGTTTCTATATGTGTTGGTCTCACTGGAAACAAAAAACGACAACTTCCGGTTATAAGAGAAAACTATGTTATTGGGATTTTTAACTTTCCTAAAAGTATCGCTTATAGATAAAGTTTTTTGAAATGATCTTTATATATGTTATTGAGATTGCAATTGTCTAGTGTGATGTTAACCATCTTAGGAAAATGCACTTCCGGTCGCGTGTTTTTCTGTCCTCAAATTGAGATTTTGTTCACCAAATTGCTCAGAAACAGTACATTGCTGAAGTCTAAAACTTTCAGAACTGATAGTCAGTCCTCAGTTTATCTACATCATGTAAAAATCGTACGTTGCCGTCACTTCCGGTCGTGACAGGAAGCGATGCAGAAAAGTGAATTGTTACAGTTTTTTTTTTCTTTTTATAGAAATGTTTTGCTAATCCGGATGTTAGATAGACTATAACCATGCAATTTATTATCACCGGAAGTGCAAACCGAAAAACCGGAAGTTGTCTCAAACATGAGTAGTTTTTCGTGGAAACTTTTAGGGAGGATCAATTGTGAATAAAAAAGGTGTAGAATGAACATTTTATTTGTTTGGAGCACTTTCGTTCATGACGAAGTACATAAAGAAAACAAGAAAGTAATTCCGTTTCTTTTTATTTGTAATTACATATCTCTGGAAGCCTTGAGATAACTTTTGTTAATTATTTAGAGTAATCTTATTGGCAAGATTGTCAAGAAAACGGAAGACCTGTTATTGCCTAGGCAATAAGTATCTAGTTATTATTATTATTATTCTTTTTTTCTACTTTCTTCTACGGTACTTTTTTGTCCGGGAGTGTTCTCATAGAACCACTCATCTGATTGACATGAAACCTTTTTAGGGTTAATAGGCATGTTGTGTAGGTGTTCGGAACGAAGGTCATTTTGCGCGCACGTGCATGCACGTGCGCGCGTGTGCAATGATTGAAATAACTGATATACTTGATGAAGCCGTAACTTTTATATTTCTTGATGAATTGCTTTGAAACTCAAAATATAAAGATATATTAATAGTCTAGACAAGATAACATGGTCAAATTAGCGTGAACTCACGCGCATGCACGTGCGCTCTTCTCTGATTGGCTGATACAAAAATCTCAATAATTTCCTTGTTTTTTGACAAAATACTTTGAAATTTAGAATATAAGTATACATTATAAGGTGCTACAACATGTTATATAGGAAATTTCTTGAAAACACGCGCATGCAGGTGTGCTGCAATCTGATTGGTTGAAACTTTAAATGTCTATAACTCCCTTGGTTTTCAACAAAACAGGATGAAATTTACGACATGGATAGGCACATAGAGCTCCTACATTATGATACTATCAAAATTGAATACAAGGCCATGCATGCGCGTATGCTAAATTCTGATTGGCTAATACTTAAAGGGTTACATCTCTCTTATTTTTCAATGAGATTCTTAAATATTTAACACAAATGTATGTATTGTGAGACACTATAAGAACATTAATGTGAAAAATGTAGAAAACATGTGCAAGCACATGCGCTGATATTTGATTGGCTAATACCCATATGGCTATATTGGAGTAGTTTTTCAATGAAATACCCTTAAAAATAAAGTGTCCATCTATATTACAAAAGTATTGTCTAATTTATCGAAGCTTGTAGGGAATGGGGCATCATAAGGGATTGGGGAGCCGTTTGGGTAACATCTGTAACGGTTCCCGTTACAATTAGCACTAGTTAGTTCCTGTATTGCCACGTTTAAATAGCCCGCCATTTCAGTTCTATTGATCTCTCTCTCTCTCTCTATTGTCTCTTCACCTGGTTCTTGTGCCTGCTGCCTAGTAACAGGCATTTTTCGTGCAAGTCATCGCCTCGATCGGGTACCCCTAATATCCAAGATACCCGGATTCTCCACCAATTGTGACGATGCGATTATGCCTTCCAAGAAAACACTTGTCACTTCATGTTTACTGTACTTTATTCCTGAATTTCCAAAAAGTTACATTCAACTCGCTAAAGCTCTACTCTTCGACTCAAAACTAACATACACACAAATCTCATCTCTTTCCCCCAGACTCCTCCCACATTTCTAAAGATAGCCAATGAAATGGAATAAAACAGAAATTGTAACATCAAAAGAAAGATGGTTGACATTAATTTAGGCCGAATTCTCAAGACAGGAAATGTTAAACCTTTTATCTCTACACTGACTATAAAACTTACAATACTACAGTGGGACGGTATGGTGTCCGGATAGAGCCATTTGCAAAAGCTCAACAGCGCGTTCAAAAAAAAAAAACACCCCGTCGCGCTAACACACAACACGCTGTCATGCTAACACAAGTTCGCACAACACGCCGTCGCGCTAACACACAACACGCTGTCACGCTAACACACAACACACCGTCACGGTAATGCAACTTTACACAACACGCTGTCGCGCTGTCACACAACTCGCTAACAAACTTTGTGATAGCGCGAATGCAAGTTGTGCGTTAGCGCAACGGCGTGTTGTGTGTTAGCGCGACGGCGTGTTGCTTGAAAGAATGTTAGCGCGACGGCGTGTTGTGCAAACCATGGGAAGAAATTCTGTGGATTTTCTGCGGTGTTGCTTTAGACTGAATTCAATCAAAGCGCAATTAACGCTAATCTTTATATTACCCATGAGAGTGATGCGAGACAAATGATGGCAGCACTGCTGAGGGAAGGATCCAACATTTTTTCAGATTTAAAATTAAAGCTTTAAAAGAACAATATAAGGCCTTCCATTGGAAGGAGGGGGGGGGGGGGGGGGCGGCGTGATTTCAATTTCCTACGTGCTCAATAATAATAATAACGAGTTTAAAATGAAACATATAATTATAGAAAATAAACGAGTAAACGATAAACAAATTAAAATAAAAAGGAAATTAAAGTACATGTTGGAGTTTGTAACCCTTATTTATTTTTTTTTTTTAGAAAGTATAAGCGTATCACAGGTTACTAATTTTACCCCTTTTCATTGACCACGCAAGTAGTGCCATATAAAAACACTTTTTTTTTCATAAATATGTCTTCGGATGTATACGGGGTGGAATGGGCTGATTTTAGGGCATAGATGGGAACAAGAGTGTCTGGGGATAAGAATTAAAATTTCAAATATTGAGAAATATTGCCTTTGAATGCGTAGTAGGAAGGGTGTAAATAGGCCATGTTTACCTTCTTCTCAAGGGGTACATGTAAGTTAAATATGCAGGGTATGGGGTAACTCTTAGAGGGACTTGTACACTATAGATTCTCCTTAGATTTAAAAATATTTTAAGGCTATAATAAAAAAGAAATCGCTAAATTTCAAGATATATTTAATTAATTCTAAATAAAATTTAAATAAATTCCACATGCAAAAAGGTAGAAGAACGCGTGGTAGCAAAATAATATTGAGCATATTAAAGGAAATAAATACTATAATTATCAATGACATCCGAGGAAAATATTGTAAAAGTTTTTTTTTTTTTTAGATCCACCTCTGCAAGATTCTGCCATAAATGTCTCGAATCACTCTTAGGGGAATATCGGTGATTAGCGTTAATAGCACTTGTATTGAGTTCAGCTCAAAGCTAAATCGGACGGGATTTCTTGGGATGTTGTGTTAGCGTGACAGCGTGTTGTGTGTAATCGCGACGGCGTGTTGTGCGAACTTGTGTTAGCGTGACAGCGTGTTGTGTGTTAGCGCGACGGGGTGTTTTTTTTTTTTGAACGCGCTGTTGAGCTTTTGAAAATGGCCCTATCCGGACACCATAGGAGGGGGAGAGATGTCAAATTGATAAATAAAACACAGATGCTGAAACATCAAAGTAAAAGTAAAATACATAAATTCACTCCTTGACACTTAGAATGGAATTTTCATTGATTGAAACGCCGCGGTTAAGCGCCTCTCCTCACCCCTCTTACACACACGCACGCAGGCATTTTGCTGCCAAATTTATTTCATCCTTATTTTTTTTTTTACTGTCCGGCAAGGAGAGAGAATGCACCCACGCCATTCTCACGAAATACATATTTTTTTTTTTTGACGTTGAGACAGTTTTTCCATTTTTATAATTTTGGCGTGTCAAGTTTTTCACGCAGTTTTGTTTTCAAAATGTTTTATTTTGTTTGCTTGTTAATTATTTTTTGGCTGACCACTTTCAAAAACGAAATTTCTTGTTCACGGTACATATTGTCTGTTATTAATTTTCAATCTAAATTTGTCATGTAATCATTTTCAACTTTAGATTGAAAATTAATAAAAGACAATATATATTATAAAGCAATGTATGTACAAGTTAGTGTAGAATGACAGTTGAAATGCAGTGCCCCCCCCCCTCTAAAATGATATATCATTAATGCATATATTAATGCATATATGATTTCCTCAATGTTCTCTAGCGCGAAATTTTAATTTCCATTCTTATTAAAATTACCTGTGATTTAAACTTGTACAAACGATTTTTGTTTAAAATTTGCTTTTTAACCTCTTTGCGTTTATTGACCTAGGGTCCGTTTTACAAAAGAACTTACATCGTGCTAAACCAATACTTTAGAGAAAAGGGTGTTTTCTAAAAACTTTTTTTTTAAGATTCGCGTTCTTTTGCGTCTTTCAAGAACTGTAAAAAACTTTTCTTGTCGCCCGTTTGGGTTTTGGATGTTAGTATTCGGGGATTTCCGTAATCAGAACGATGGAAATTTGAAAGTATATAAAATGGATGAAAAGTTGCTACCGGAGGATTTTTATCATTATATAAGAATTATCTGGAGAGAAGAGGGTTCTCAATTCAGCTGGTAAGCATTGCATATAACTTTTAAAAGGGAAAAATCGTGTCGGGGGCACGGAAAGGGGCGAATGCAGTTGCAAGCCTTGTTTCATTTGAGATAGGCCTATGTCATTCTTATTATCTTAAAAACGTGGATAATATCAAATTTCTGTGGCAATCTAATTTTATTAAGAAGTTTATAAATGGTCGTTTGGTATCAAAGGAACGTCAATTCTATGAAAAATCAGATCTACTTGATAGGGCGAGTCTATCTTTGATCAGCTGTTGATACAAAGACTTTGACGGGGGTTATTATTATGTAATGGTCCTGTGTATTTCCAATAGAATTGGCTGTAAAACTGTTGGGGTAAGTCATATTTAGACAGATACACCCTTGGGTAACCGTATTGTAGATTCAAGTTTGTTCAAATCAGCACCCCAAGGGGGATTGGACCACTTAGACACTGTTAGATATTTAAACCTTTCAATACTGAACTGATTTCTGCTTTTCTCTATATGTCTTTTGCATATTAAATCCTACTCGGTCATTCTATGTTAAATGGACCAATTCAGAGTAAAAAACATGAAAAAAAATAGTTGCTTCAAATAGCAAAATGAACATCATAATTCTCTAAAGGACCTATCAGTGAACTTGAAAACAAAGAAATGTCCACAAATCTGGTATCATTAACTTTTTACAAGAATTTCAAGATACCATTGATTTTAAGGTAATGTTACGGAAGTTAATGCATGATTAAGCCTTATTATTTTTTAAAATAAAGCTGAATTTGACCAATTTTTCGTTTCTGATGTTTAGTAAAGAACGCTAAAGTATGATTCATGAAGTCTCGCATGAATCTGAATTTAAATTAAATTTTTGGGAAAAATATCGTTATGGAAGTTAATTTCCAGCAATAAAAGTTAAAATTATATCTTCAATAGTTAAAATCAAAGTTTGTTTTAGGATATTAAACAAAAGTATGAAGCATTTTGTTCCCAAAATAATCAAAAATTTTATACATTAAATGCAAAAACTTTCCTGAATTACCGTTACGGAAGTTAAATTTTTAAGAGAGACAACTGTTTTTGTCTAATTCATTTTGTTATGTCGAAAATGTCTGACTCGCAACTAGAATGGATGATATAAGGTTCCGTGGTCACTGTTAGATAAGTTTCAGTTCTTTTTAAAATCTGCATTCTGTGCGTGAAATTTAAAACAAAATCGTTACGGAAGTTAATCGATTTTAAGCGACATGCTTATAAATTGGCATGTAAGGAGATACATGTATATGCATTTCTTTGCAAGAAGTGGTTTGATTTCTTTTTATATAGGATAAAAGACATTTTTTAACATTCATTGCACTCTATTCGGAACGATTTTATGGCAGAAAATTTCATCTTGAAATTTGTATATAAACATGATAAATGAAGCAACATTAAGATTTGCAGTGGAATACGTTTTTCAACATTACATTATGTTCATATCAAAACTTTAACTGCATATATATCGATGAATATTTACAAAAGCATGTGTGTATTTTAAGTCTTAGAGTTGAAATCGACCTTTAAATTTTTAATTAAGATATTACAACGGTGCATTTGCAAGCGACATAAAAAATTCTTAATTGGTCATGTTTTTGTAGAATGACTGTACTTTTGTTTTAGGTTCCCTCTTTCCCATGCCTGATGTCCGAGAAGAGATGGTTGATCATTAAAAGTTTTTCTTCTTCAATTTCATTATAAGTATACAATTTTTACATATTCTTCGTATTCTTTTTGTTCTAGGTATAACTTATGTCAAGGGTGTAAACTTTTTTAATTAACAGTTCTTGGATAAGAGAAAACTCCGGACAACTGTTCAATGTAATTTATTTATTTTCCATCGACATGATGGTAATTTGATGCAGTATTTAGGTTATATCATCAATGACATGGTGATCTACAATAAATATGAAAACTTACATACCGTCCATTCACACATTAAATATTTAAATGAAATTTATATCAAATATTTAATTCATAAATTAATTTACTGAAAATATATAATAGTTTAATTAAAATATCTTACCACGTAGACAGAATTTACGCTCCTAATTATAAGGCTAAGTTACGGATAATAACAGTCCTCGTAACGTCCGTCTATATCAGAGGGTTTTCATAAAGTGATTTAAAATAATATTACTGCATGCAAAGGTTAATAAAATTCGCGCCAGCCATGCGCAATGACTGGAAAAACCTGTCAAACACACCCATACACATACCATACTCACCGTATGACATCAGAGGTCATGAACTTTCAAACCATGAATGAATGAATAAATGAGATGACGCATGCACCAATTATCATACATAGTAACATATAGTAAATAATCCTGTGACACTTATATCTGCCAAATTCAAGACATGTCGTGGTTGAGAGAGATGGTGTTAAAACGTAGATTCAATCAGTGTTGATTGTAGCTGCAGATCTGAAGACTGCTGGTCTAAAAAAAAAAATGGAAGGTTGTCCATCCCAACATTTTCAGACAAGCAAGCAACAGATCTGCAGCTATGCTGATTGGCATAAATATTTACTGAATAATCCATTCTTTAATGCATGTTGTTTATATAGTTTATTCAGGGATGTATATATTAACTGGATCATGTGGATAGGCAACTCCTTTCATGCCATGTTTATTTACCCTAAAATGTCACACACAACAAGTTTTTCAAACTACTTATATTCCCAGAAAAAAATTTTAGTATTTGATAAATGTAATCTGTTCTTATTTTATAAAGAGAGATAGATTTTTAATAAATCTCAAACTTTGAAAAATGAGCATGTAATATGAAAATAATTCAAGAAGGATATTTTGAAGAATATAGAGCTTACATACCCTGGTACATACCGGTAGTTTCATTTCTAATTCAATGAGAACAAGGTAAACATGTTTTTAATACCTTTTGATGTCCTTAATTTACATGTACTTGGTTGCTGTATATTGGATTTGAATTTTACTTTGGATTTTCCAATATCTTTTCTGTATTATTTTTTTTTTCATTCCTAGGTAAATATGCAGCTACTGTAGAATTCCCCTTGAGCAACAGTTTTAAAAGAGGATTATAGAGAAAGAACTATATTCAACTTTCCAATTACTACCATGGCCATATTCCTAAGCATGCTGGTTTACATGGGAGTACTACTCTTTTTCATTGGAATTCCTTCTCACAAATGTGTAAGAGTATAAAATCATGTTAAAGATATTTTTGAATTGTTTTTTTTACAGTTACAAATTTTTGATTAATTAATGTTTGAACCATTTTAAAACATGTTCAACATGTTCAAACTGACAAAACTTTTTCATAGAAATAAAATAATTTTCAAGTTTGTGTACATGCGTTCAGGCATCACAACAGGTAAAATTGTGGAAACAATGCTTAGGTACAATAATAACAGTATTTTATTTAACAGAAATGTAACAAAACTTATTCATGTTATTACAGAAATGGAAAAAAAAAATTCAAAATTTGTGGAAATGTGATATTCCCAGTTAAAATTGTTCTAAATATTTATCCACATAATTTTTTTTTTAAAGTAATTTTTAAATTGTCGTTGTGAAGATTAAAATCAAAGTCCTGGGGACTGAGTTTAGGGTACTACTGGGGAAATGCTAAAGAATATAATACAGGATTATACATTAATTATTACATATATAACAAAAAAAAATATTACATCTCAGAACAATGATAAGGCATAGATGCAAGTATTAATTAGAAATTCAAGGTCAGTTTTTAGCTTTCCTAAACCAAAGAATCAAGAGACCTTTATTGATGATAGAGTATTATGCATGGGTCCATCTGTTTGGTTTATTTTATTTGTCAACTTTCAATATTTTTTATCTTCAACTCGAGAAACTCTGGACCAGTCAGAAATATTACACTGTTCCTTAATTTAAGTGATTAAGATTTTTGTGCCCCTGCACTGAAATGGGCTGGCATAGACAGTGTTTCCCCTTTCTGTCCATGATTATGTTACCCTGTCAATCCATCATTGTCATTCACTGATTCATCTTAGTTTTCCGGACCTTTTTTCGCTCTGCTTAGATGAGCTGATTTTTGGTACGACTTTTGATATTGATAATATGACCCCTCTCTGTCCATCATCCCAACACTCAATCATTCCGTCATTCTGTCATTATGATAGTAAGTTTTGGGGACTTTATTTCGCTGTGCTTGTAGATAATAAACAGATTTTTAATATGTCGCTTGATATTCTAAATGCATTCATGTCACACTGACACATCTACTTTAAAGTGCAGAAGATCTTAGTATGTGATGGTAAGGTGTCTGTCATCCATCTGTTTATTTGTAAACAATCATTCAAAATGCTACTCCTCCTCAGTTTTGGTCCAGTTTTATTGAAAATTTCTAAACAAGTATACTAAACCAAAATATATAGAAAAAGCATGTAACATTTTATATTAGTTTTTTTTTAATTTCAAAAAATGGTGTTGCCATGGTTTTTAAATAATATAAATTTCTTTGAAATTATTTCAAACTGATTCTTTTCTTACAGTATTACTCTGATTTCAATAAAACTTTGTACACAAGTAAACTACACTAAGATACATAATTTTCTTTATTAAAATTAATGTATGATTTTATTGCCATGGTTATGATAAATAGAAATTTCTTTAAATTCTTTAAAAACACTACCTCTTCTACACTTTTAGTCCAATATTGCAATAAAACTTGCAACACAACAAGATTAAACCCAAGATCTTTATTCTGTTTTTCATAGATGACATTGTCAGGATACAGAATGGAGGTGTATCCAGTTACATCTTGTCCAAAAAATGACACTGAGTGGCAGAGAGCTTCTAGAAAGCTTAATTGTTCTGAGATCGTTGGGAAACCTAACCATTATCACTGCCTCCCAATCCATGATTTAAGCCAGCTTGTACAGTTCTGTTATAATAGACTCAGTGGACTTGTTGAATCTGGTAAATATAGCATTCATTCAGCTGTTAAATTTCTGATCAAAGAGTGTCCGGCGTCCATCTGTAAAGATGTAATTTATGATCAATTGCTGCATGTTCTGTCACATGATATAGGTGGACCTTGAGTTTCAATTCTATTACGATTTTATGACAGCAGTAAGGGTAGGTGGGGATAGGATGAAAATATGGTATAAAAAATGAATTAAAACTATATCCATCTTTCCATTTTTGAATATCTACAGACCCTGAAACGTGCTACTACCCCCAAAAAGCGTGTGACTTTCTGGCGTTTTTCATTTCGTGCAAACCGTGTAGCGTTTCGTGTAAACTGTGCAGCGTTTCGTGCAAACCGTGTAGCGTTTTGTGTAAACCGTGCAGCGTTTCATGTAAGCTCCAAAGCATTTCGTGCAAACCGTGTATTGAGCGTGCGAGAAGCGTGTGAGAAACGTGCGACTTTCATGTAAGAACCGTGTGAGAAACGTGCGACTTTCATGCAAGAATCGTGTGAGATACGTGTAGGATTCATTCGGAAGTCCTTTTATTTTATATATGACTATTGTTGGATCAACATGTCATTCTGTGTTGTTTGTAACTAATATTATTCGGATATATCATACCAGTGGTATTTTAAGAGTGAAAAAAAATACAAAAACAACAAAATAAAATTATTCGGTAATGTATTACATATTCGTTTGATTTTCATTCTTTATTTATTTAAATAAAGATGGACAGAAAATGTGTTAAAAGTAATTAATTATATGCACATCAATTTTAAGGTCATTGATTCAATACATTTTTTTAAAGGGAGCAATGCTGAATATTTTTTTTAAAGAAAATTCACTAGGAATCCGGTTCTTGTCCTTTTCACTAATTTATTTGAATATCTTCACCATTGTACATGGGATAGAGAGATTACAAGAACATATCGGTGATTAATACAAAATAATAGATAGATACATGTATCGCTGGTGTAATAAAAAATAAAATGCAAAATTAAGTGCGTTGCTATAAATGTGAAGTATAGGAATTCTAGGCCGGGGAGCACAGTTAATTGGTTTTCTTTTAAACGAACATATTTTTCTTATATTACAAGATTGTGATACAAATAATTTTGAAAACGATGAGTCATTTATTGTCTTTTTATGCATAAAATCGGTTGATTAATAAAAGTAATATAAATGAATTATAATTCACATGCATCGGCACCCTTAAAAATATATTGGAATCTTCTTTACACTATCAACACTGTTCTTACGACTCAAGGTCATTTACAACAGCGATCATGGACTCTGCGTGCCAGGACTGAAAACTTATTCTGCTATTATCTCTTGTCAATCATAGCTACACTGTAAGATGACACCCGACAATAACGATCGATTAATTAAACGGTCATACCGTTGATTTTATTTCTTAAATTTATCCAATTGTCTGTAAACAGTGAATTAATTTGCCAGTGTATTCGTGAATAAAATGATATAAAGAAATAAATCCTATATAATTATATATTGATTGTTTTTATTCATCACGCAGTTCTAGAGCATAATTTTTTTTAGTTTTTAGGACATAGGATATGTATACATATATATTGAATGTATTGTTAAGAGCCGCGACTATTGATTACATACAATGTAATTATTGATTTTTTTTTCTAGACGGGGTTTGAAATCAGGGATTTACATATAAAAGGTGGTGGGTATATTGATATTTGATAAACACAATACCGGAAAAGAGAACGAAAGAATTACAATTCATATCCCCCCGGCTTCTCTACCATATAAGATTTTAATGATAAATTAAAGTTTAACTCAGTAATGAAACGATATATTTACCATTCTGAATAAAGTGCATCTTAATGAATTACATGTTTCCGGTCCCGCTGGAGACATGAATATCTTCTTTTATTTCTTAGAACGGGCACTTGTTTCTATAATAATTTTTTTCCCGATTGTTTACTTACTGAAACAAGTGCCTGTTATATTTAGCCATGTACAGATTTGAAGACACAACAGTAAGATCTCGGTAATCTACCCCCCCCCCCCTTCCTCCTCCCTTCCTGCACAATGTCCCTGTTTCATGCAGTGTACATATTACATTTGCAAATTATAAACAGAGCCTAATTTAATCAAATGAAATTATTTTCCTACTAAATCAAAAAATTGCATAAATCAATCAATAATTAAAAAAGGAAAAAAAAATCAATCCGTTTACAGAAATCATACGCAATTTTATCAATATTTTTTTTTAAATATAACTGTGAAACTGAGTTTATTTATCAGTAAAAAAGACAGTAATGGAACGACTTTTTAATATCAAACTATAATTGTAAATACATTAAATGCTGTAAAAGATTATGGATTACAAATATAATTATTTTTTTTAGTGCGTAATTTAGAGTCTAGTGAAAAAAGTTTGACGATGATAAGCATTTCCTGGGCGGGTCACACACTCAATGACAACTATTAATTAATTACAACTGAACATTGAGTATTTTATCTGTTAATATAGTACTGGTGTAGCGAGTTTTAATCTTAACTTATTCTGAATGATTGTAATTCTTAACTACTCGTTGATTAATCCTTGATAATTAAAATAAAGTCTGAGAGATTCCGAATAAAAAATCCAGATCGAGACCAAAGCGTGCGAGAATTTTGTACAAAGCGTGTGAGAAACATGTACAAAGCGTTTCGTGCAGGCTTTCGTGTAAACCGTGCAGCCTTTCGTGCAAAGCGTTTCGTGTAAACCATGTAGCGTTTCGTGCAAACCGTGTAGCGTTTCGTGTAAACCGTGTAGCGTTTCGTGCAAACCGTGTAGCGAGCGTGTACCATTCGTGCAGCGTGCCTGTGGGGTAGTAGCGCGTTTCAGGGTCTGTAATATCAGCAATTATTTTTACAATTCATTTACTTGCAGAAATTACAACAATAAAGTAAGTATCAGGGATAAACACTGATAAAATTAACTCTGACAATCATGTTGTGTACATTAGTCGACTAAATATGTGTGTAAGCATTGGGAATTATTTATTTTTTCGATGTAGTGATATAAAAAAAAATATCTTGACAACAAATAGCAGTAAAAATAATAATTACAAGAGAAAAAAATGGCTAACCATCTTAAATTTATTTTATCATTAAAAGGTTTGCTATTTTAAGAGAATACGATATTGAACGACTTATTATATTGCTTATTTACTTGCAAAAATTAGTTCATTTGATTATGTTAATCGCACTTCATTTCTTTTATTTCAGTTAAGAAAAACAGACAAGCCAAATGCTTTTTTAACAAATTACATTCCATTAAAAACTAACAAAACAAAAATTTCTTACTGCACAATCATGTACGATTAAAACCACAAATGATTGAGCCTGATACACGCACGATCTCTCAAGTTTCATGAACTATCAGGCACGTTACATAAACAATTCTACACGATTGGTTTGTTAACAATAACGTTGCAGCCACTGTAATTAAGAATTTGAGAAAATTTAATGGCATCTTTTATAAATCTTCTTTTCAAGAACCACTGTGCAAGAGAAGATGAAACTTATGTGAAAGCTTCATTAATTACTCTAATTAAAATTCAAGTTTGTTCATATCATAACCCAGGTAGGGTAGGGCGGGGCCACAAGAGGGGGTCAAAGTTTTACCTAGGAATATATAGGAACCATCTTGAAAGAAATATTTTTCTTGAGAAAAGCAAAGCCATGATTAGTCAAATTATAATAGAAGTATCCTCAGGTAGTGTAGATTCAACTTTGTTCAAATCATGACCCCAGGTGGTAGGGCGGGGCCACAAGAGGGGGTCGAAGTTAACCATAGGAATATATAAGAAATATCTTTAAAAATCTTCCTCTCAAGAACAGCTAAGCCATTATTTGTCATATTAATATAGAAGTATCCTCAGGTAGTGTAGATTCAAATTTGTTCAAATCATGACTCCTGGGGGTAGGACAGGGCCACAACAGTGGGTCAAGGTTTACATGAAAATAATTATATAGGTGTAATGGTCTAGGGCATTTGAGTAAAATGCATTGACGACTTCAAATAGTGGAATGACCTGACAACCCTTGGAATGTACTAGCCAAAGGGTATATAAGGCAATGCTTTGGGAAAGTTAGGCATTATTCTGAAGCTAGCTGAAGAAGTTGGATGATGAATCAGCAAAAAAAGAAGTAAGGTATTCCATCCCTAATAGCAACAGATTCAATGAAATTGAATACATAACAGATCTGTAGGGATTGAATACTCAGTATATTTAAGAAATAAAGTCCTGTCTGTCCGTCTGTCCGTCTGTAAACTTTTCACATTTTCATCTTCTTCTCAAGAACCACTGGGCCAAATTCAACCAAACTTGCCACAAAGTATCCTTGGGTAAAGGGGATTCAAGTTTGTTCAAATGAAGGACCACACCCTCTTGCAAGGGGAGATAATTAGGAATTAGTGAAAAAATAATGGCATCATTTAAAAATCTTCTTCTCAAGAACCACTGGGCCAGGAAAGATGAAAGTTATGTGGAAACATCCTCAGGTAGTGTAGATTCAAGTTTGTTCAAATCATGACCCCCGGGGGTAGGGTGGGGCCACAATGGGGGATCAAAGTTTTACATAGAAATATATAGGAAAATATCTTAAAAAATCTTCTTCTCAAGAACAGCAAAGCCATGATTGGTCATATTTATATGGAAGTATCTTCCGGTATTGTAGATTCAAGTTTGTTCAAATCATGACCCCCGGGGGTAGGATGGGGCCACAATGGGGGATCAAATTTTTACATAGAAATATATAGGAAAAATCTTTAAAAATCTTCTCAAGAAACGCAAAGCCATGATGAGTCATATTTATATGGAAGCATCCTCAGATAGTGTAGATTCAATTTTGTTCAAACCATGACCCCCGGGGGTAGGGCGGGGCCACAATAGAGGATCAAGTTTTACATAGAAATATATAGGAAAAATCTTTCAAAATCTTCTTCTCAAGAACAGCAAAGTCATGATGAGTCATATTTAT